TAAATTTCTTTATTTTTTAATTTTATTTACTGCACAACATTAAAAGCGCTTCTACAGAAGCAAATAAATATACAAAACTATATAAAGCTTTTGAAAATGGGTATATAATACTTTTTTGAACTTGTTTTTCATTCATAACGATAGTATATGGTATCAAATACACATCATCACAATATTACTTTTTGTGCATCAATTAGACAACCAAATCGTATTCTGAGTGTTTCATTAGATTGTTTTGTGTCGTACGTATTGCTGTAGTTCAGTGTAAATACGTACATAAGCTTAGAAATAATTTTATATACATGAATATATGGTGAGGTTATAGAAGAAAACTGTGTAAGAAAAAATTTATGCTGATGTTTGACATTCCAAAGAACAACAGCAAACTCTTAGCATAATTTACTTATTTCTGTAGAAGCATTTTGGATTTGATGCAGTAAATACGGCACAAAACGAAATATTAAAACGTCGATTTACAGGTCTCTATAGTCGGTATCCAGTACCCTCTTAACAAAACTTCAGCTCCTCTTAAGCCTGTGTCACACTACGGATTTGGATTGAGATTGGATCGCAATTTGCTCCAATCAGAGCTAAGATCATTAAACTTAGGATTAATTTCCTTTCTTCTGATTGGTCAAAAATTTCAATCCAATCTCAATCCCAATCCGTAGTGTGACATAGGCTTAAAGCCACGAATGTTCCGTCTATTATATAAGTCTATGGTTTGCACGCGTGTGTCGCGCGCCCCCGTGGCAAGGAGACACGATGATACGTCGCCGCGTCGAGCGACGGATGTGAAATAAAAATCGTTTCTCGCGCAAGATGTACAGGCGGTACCACTAGTACGACTTTGAGAAAAGACAGAGAGAGAGAGAGAGAGAGAACTATGTGCAGTGTTGTGATGTGTCCGCCAAGTATCGTCAACGGTCAAAAACTCGCTCGTCCGCTCCGTAGATGTCTTTCGGTGAGTTCTCGCTGCGTGCTCACCGCACTTTCTTCGTTTTTTTCCTCACCACCACGTCCGTTCTATGAAATAATTTAAGTACATTCGCACACACACACACACACGTTCGTTTTCCGCCACCACCGTCGCTCGAATCCACGGCAGCGATCGAACCGCGCCGGATTCGGAGAACGTTATTTCACGTTTTTACTCACCACCGTCGGCGAAACAAACAAATCGAACGTTAAGTCAACGCGCGATTGGCGTCGTCGTCCCTTAGTAAAGTCACGCGACACGAGTCTCAGTGACAGTTTTTCCACGCGAGAATCTTCTTTTTCCTTATCTTTTTTTTTTTACGAATGTTTATTATTTAGGAGGACGTTCGAGGGACACGCACATCAGAGATATACTCGATAATAAATCTCCGAATTAGGTGCAGCTTGACGTGAGTGTGTTCGTCCCCGTGAGTGTCCTGTCGCCCACACGCGGGAACACGCCTTTTTCCCCCGCGCGAGAGGAATTTCGCGCGGCGCGATGTTACACAATGATTTTTTTTTCTGTTCGCTCGTTTCGATTGCACCTTCTGCACTTGTGTGTTTGCATCTCGCTCGTGTTGAAAAAAAATATACAGCGCGGAATTTTTTGTGTAATAAGTTAACGTTTAATTGAGTGCCACGCGTTGTTTACACACACGTTGTTTCTCTCTCTCTCTCTCTCTGTCTCTCTGTCTCGGGAGTAATTTTTGACGAAACAGGTTTATTATCTCTGGGTTGTTGTCCGTGTCGCGGATACGCGATATCCGTTCGCGTTTTAAAAGACGGAGAAAAAAAATAGACGAGCAACCGTGTTGCCGACGTTGAAATTCAAACGTAGGTATGTTGAATAAAAAAAAATGAATTGAAACAATTCGAACGATTTATTTTATCCCAAAAAAAACGTTCGTTCGCGCTTGGCTTTGCGGATAAAAATATTTTTTAAATTTTTTAAATTGTCAAAAAAAAAAAAAAAAACCGTATAATTGCTGTGTACAATTTTCGTCGGTGGAATTCCTAAACTCGAAGAAGATAAGCGAGGAATGCAAGCAACAAACCGAACAGACCTGTTTTGTCTATTACCTGTGTATTTGTTTTCTCTTACCTGTAACTGTGTGTTTGAAATACAACACAGGAAGTGCACAACTGAGAGACAGCGCGTTGCAAAAGGACTACACCCTTGTGCGCGTGTGACAATGCTCGTTCGAACTTAGGTTAGAAGAAATTATTTTAACCGCTGCCTCTCTATCGTCTGTGTTTATCTCCGAGAGATCCCGCGACTACGCCTGTACCTCTCCACCTCCACGGTGTCACGATGAGAAACTCGTAGCGAAGGTCCGTTAAACGTCGAGGTAAAATCGTCGATCGATGTCGCGGGTTCGACAAAATCCTCTTTGACACAGTGCGGTGACGAGACTTAGAGGATTTAAATGTGTGTTTTAAAAAGAACCCCAACGCGACTTCCGCAAAGCTTCGTTGACGGGATCGACGAGAGCATTTTTTTTTTTTTTTTTTTTTAACAACAAACTGGTTGTCATTGAGTTTCCGCTCGATTCTGCGATAAACTACAGAAATTTAATGACATATGACACATGGTTTGTTGAGATATAAATTTATGTTTGTTGCGCTGGTGTATAATTAATAGAAGAATAATTAACAGTCTGTCACAAATATTGTCATATATATATATATATATATGGACCGTTTATTTTGAAAGTGGTGTGAGTCCATTTTTGAAAAAAATGAGATATCACGTAATTCACGCTTAATTTAATGTAAATTTTTTATGTATAACTAGTTTACGAAAGAAAATGGACTTAAACCACTTTCAAAATAAACGGTCCATATATTTCTGATTTGAATTTGTGCGAATAGGTTTGTATTTATTACTGGAATTTATTTAATATTATATATATATATATATATTGTTTAGGTGCCGAATGTCTAGAACTCAGCTGGCAAAATGGGCAAGTTGTTGTCAAAGATTTTTGGCAACAAGGAGATGCGTATTCTCATGTTAGGATTGGACGCAGCTGGAAAAACTAGTATCCTTTTATTGTGAACCTGACGCCGCAACTTCTACAGATCTCTTTTTTTTTTTTCTAAATTTTTCTCTCATTTCCTTAATAAAATTATACCAGCAATATTGTATAAACTTAAACTAGGACAGTCTGTGACAACCATACCAACTGTAGGATTCAATGTAGAAACAGTTACCTATAAGAATGTTAAATTTAATGTATGGGTAAGTCTTGCACTGTTGCTGCGTGTGTTTTCTTCGGAACACGTACACGAAGATTTTCCACAAAAAGAGATTTATTAATTGATTTATTTGATCGCGTGTTTGCATATTTGGTTAAACAACGTGTCGTTATATTTAGGACGTAGGTGGTCAAGATAAAATACGTCCGTTATGGCGTCATTATTACACAGGGACGCAAGGACTTATTTTTGTAGTAGATTGCGCGGATCGAGATAGAATTGACGAAGCTCGCCAAGAACTCCATCGAATCATAAATGATAGAGAAATGCGTGATGCGATAATCTTAATTTTTGCTAATAAACAAGATCTTCCTGATGGTAAGTAGAACGCAATATAGATAGGCAATAAATTTTATATTTTGATTTAGCAGATATTTAACCCTCAGTGCTCCGTAGGCTCCTCTGCGGAGCCAAATGTTTTTAGCGTCGGTGTTGGCAATTGTTATTTACAAAATTGTTATTTACAAAAAGAAAGTGCATATGTGTAAAATAAACGTGCCGGAGTTGCTGGCAGGCAGTGGTACAAAAACGTGCGGAGCGCTAAGGGTTAATACGTACACCAAATGTGTAATAGAGAACCCATTAGCGATAGATTTATATAAATTTTTATTCACAATTTATTTGTTTACGCTTATTTCCCTCAGCAATGAAACCGCACGAAATACAAGAGAAATTGGGATTAACTAGGATACGAGATAGAAATTGGTACGTTCAGCCATCATGTGCCACAACGGGAGACGGGCTTTACGAGGGCCTTACGTGGTTAACCAGTAATCATAAATTATGAGCAAATATTTATTTTTCACAAACTAGCTATATATATTATATATTACGGAGAATACACACACACACATTTGCTTTGTATTTTTTCATTTTAATTTATCATGCGGAGGCTCTGTTATAAGACAAACAACAACAACAACAACAACAACAACAGATGACAGTGGTATGATATGACGTGGTCTTTTACACTGGCAAAAGTTGTTGCGGGTGCAAAAGAGAAAACAAAAAAAAGAAAATACAGAAAGAAACAATATAAAGACAAACTGTTAACGGTGTGTTCCAATAATAATATCGCGATACTAGACGAATAGTAATTTATTATTATGTAAACGAGGTACCAAGGAATGTGACTTTTGTTATTTAGCTTATTTATCCTATTTCATGTGGAAGTAAACTATTGAACTATAGAATTACACAAACAACAGGTTCAAACAACATCACTCTCTCTATATATATGTAAAATATTTCACGCGACTTTGCGAAACGGATGAGTTGTACAAGTTTACAAAAAAAAAAAAAAAAAGAAAGAAAGAAAGACAAATATTTACCCTGGTTGATGATATTAACTCACGGATTCACACGCAACATAAAAAGAATTAGCATAATTTTTTTTTATACCTCTCTCATTTGCGCAGGACTTTACTCGGTGTCTGATCCAATTTGTTATTTGAGATAAGAGATAGATTGCGTTTGTCGAGCGAGAAAAAAAGTACCTCACATTTTTAACAAATCATAGTTTAAATTTTTTTTAAGTTCGCAATAATCTTGTTGTCTCCCTAGAATGCTATTTAATTGTGTTTTTTTTTTTTATATAGTATTCTCTAAAAACGCGATATAATAGGTAATGAGCGAATTTACAAGCACCTACATTGAGGCTCTGTACAGCGAGATTATTTTTGTTAGAAGATCACATAATTCTTATTTACTTATATTTTTGTATCAAAAGTAATCCGTTTATTGAGTTAAGTACCAACCATCGTCTTCCAACTCGATGAACAATTTATTTTTTTACGGATTATTCCCGTTGTCCGTTTCGTTCGTCTCCCTCACACGTGTGCATTTTTTTAAAAACAATATTTTTTAATCGAAATGCAATGAAAATCCAACGTGCCGGAGTTCTCCTCAATTACGCACAAGCTGCAGAATTTATAATAGAAAGAGCAACGCGACACAAGAGTTTTGAATTTGTGTAGCCGATTGTTGAGCTCAAAAATCACGAAAACTAAAACAACAAACAAACAAACAAAAAAAGACAAATAGAACAATGTTACAAAGAGCGTAACAGCATTGAATCTGCCAATATTTTTTACCATTTAAGTGAGAGTATTGGATAATAAAAGCATATTAGTATTAGGTCGTTAACGATCGAGACCATAAATCTAAAAACGGCATTTTAACGGATAAGTGTTTCCGTGATTATTTCATTTCTCATAATAGCATAATCCCCCCCCCCCCCATTGCGTAACGTAAGATTTAGCGAAGCATATATTTCGAAGTTTATAAAAAAAAAAGAAAAAAAAACATGGTTCATAGGTAACGTTTTACAAGTGTTCAAAATATTTGTATTAATTGTCAGATTGAGTTGCGAGAGTGAATAATAATGATGAATATATACATCTGTTTACGAACATGATGACACAATCTTGTTTCCAAACATTCCAAACTAGCGCGTTAAGTTGTTGGAGGAATGTTTTATATAGTTAAAAATAATAATCTACAAATCGATTTAACACACACAGAGATTTTTCTAGATGTTGTAAGTTCTCATATACATACACACACACATACGACTTCTTCTCAGCATCCGTACCATTAATATATAAGTATGTCATTTTTAAGAAATACATGAGATGTGAAATTATGAGCGCGCACTGTCTGTGTAAAAAAAATTTATAATCAGGCTTTGGAAGTACCGAGCTAATTTTTTTTAGAACATAGTAGCTACAATTTAATAACACGCTCTATGGCTACGCGTTTGTTTATGTACCAACCTCATCATCATCATCATCATCATCGTAATCTCTGCATTTTTAACAAATGTTTCCAAATAGCGATTATTGTATACTAACTATATAAAAAAAAAATATATATATATATATATATATTCTTTTAAATGCAAATATGATATACATTTGTTACGTTTTACCGTCGGCTTTTATATATATCACAGAGCCATTTTCTCATTTATTAAAATGTAAATGTTATGATGTTGATTGACAAAATTTTATGTGTATATAAAAAAATATGTTTGATATAATTCTAAATGTACTGTTTTTTGCGTCGAGTGTTTTTATGTATTTCGTATATTCGCTAACATACTATAAAAAAAAAAACGGAATATACACCAAATTAACGGATTGTACGCGATAAGAAAAACAAAAAACAAAAAAAAAATGAAGAGAGATTTCACAAGAATTAATACAGAAGATCACACACTCCACTCGAATTTGGATAAAGAGCTCTTTTTTTTTTTTTTTTTTTTTAAGTCGTGTAAGTTCTAAGAGAAGTATAAAATGCCAAACTTTTTTTTATATACGACGAAGATACGTGTTTATTTTTGTCAGATAAGCTATATTACTTTACAACATTTATAACAATAAACCAGAGATAATTGAGAGAACCATAGAGTAGTCGCTTATTAATATCTCAGTCCAAAGCCTGAACCTGAACAAGAAGTTTTTACATCATTAGCGAAAAGTTTTATTGTAAGTTTTTAACTAATTTTTACACATACAGTGTAACAAGAATCTCCTTTGTAATGAATCTCATTAAAGATATCGAGATAAAGAACAAATTTGGAGAAAAAAAAATTTTCTCGCTATCTTTAATAGTTTCAGATAAACTTGTGACACTTTATGCGTGATACCTATATTCTGTATATTTAATAGTGTGATTTAATACAATTTATGTCCGAAGTTCAAAACAATAAATCAATAACAAAAAAAAAGTCCCGATAAATATGAAGTTGCAACAATATTCTAAATTGTGATATATGTAATCTCTCTCTGTAAAAATTCTGTTTACAATTGATTTTTTTTCTATCGTAAGCATTTGTAATAATGCACATGTTTTTGCAGTTTCTCTTTTTTTTTTTTTTTTTT